GGAAACAAACCTGTTTCCAGACTTCCGGAATTTCCGGGAGGGCCATTTTTCACCTTCCCCAGAGTCCAGAGGCTTCCCTCAGGCCCAAGTGCAGGATCTGCGTGGAGGCTCTGGGAGGGCAAAACAGCCTCCCCCGGGCTCCAGAAGCTGGAAACAGGCCCATTTCTGGCCTCCTGGAACTTCCAGGAGGGCCGTTTTTTGCCTTCCCCACAGTCCAGAGGCTTCCCTCAGGTCTCTGGTAGGGTGAAAACAGCCTCCCCTGGATTCCGGAGGCCCTCCGAAGCTAGAAACAGGCCCCCTTTCCAGACTTCCGGGAGGGCCATTTTTTGCCTCCCCCGGAGTCCGGAGGCTTCCCTCGGGCTTCTGGGAGGGCGAAAACAGCCTCTCCCAGGCTCCGGAAGCCGGAAACAGGCCCATTTCTGGACTCCTGGAACTTCCAGGAGGGCCGTTTTTTGCCTTCCCCAGAGTCCAGAGTCTTCCCTTGGGTCTCTGGGAGGATGAAAACAGCCTCCCCTGGATTCCGGAGGCCCTCCGAAGCTGGAAACAGGCCCCTTTCCAGACTTCCGGGAGGGCCGTTTTTCGCCTCCCCCGGAGGCTTCCCTCAGGCTTCTGGGAGGGCAAAAACAGCCTCTCCCAGGCTCCGGAAGCTGGAAACAGGCCCATTTCTGGACTCCTGGAACTTCCAGGAGGGCCGTTTTTTGCCTTCCCCAGAGTCCAGAGGCTTCCCTCAGGAATCTGGGAGGGTGAAAACAGCCTCCCCTGGATTCCGGAGGCCCTCCAAAGCTGGAAACAAGCCCCTTTCCAGACTTCTGGAACTTCCGGGAGGGCCGTTTTTGGCCTTCCCCAGAGTCCAGAGGCTTCCCTCAGGCCCAAGTGCAGGGTCCACGCGGAGGCTCTGGGAGGGCAAAAACAGCCTCCGCCGGGCTCCAGAAGCCGGAAACAGGCCTGTTTCCAGATTTCTGGAACTTTTGAGAGGGCTGTTTTTCACCCTCCCGGAGCTTCCGTGGGGACCCTGCACGTACTTGCATCCAAAATGGGCTACGTGGAGACTCCGGGGAGGGCAGGGAAGGGGTGGGAGATGCCAGCCGGTCAGTTCAACTACGGTTTCGGCAAATCAGATGTAATTTAATAACCAGTTCGCGCGAACCAGGCCAAACCGGCTGAATTATGACTGTTTATGACTGTTCATTTGGTGACTTTGCCTCTTCCACTGAGAAAAAGTGACTTATTAGGAAGCGGCTACAGGTAGTCCAGTTCCTTTAATGAACATTCGAATTTAACAACGGCACAATGGGAAAAAGTAACTTACGACTGTTTTTCGCACGTACGACGGCTGCAGCATCTGCATGGCCGTGTGATTTAACATGTGGATGCTTGACAACAGACTCACATTGATGACGGTCGCCGTGTCCCAGAGTCACATGATTTGCGACCTTCTCACAGACCAAGGCAATGGGGAAAGCCAGACTCAGTTAACGACCGTGTTCCTCACTTAACAACGGCAGTGATTCATTTAAACATGTTTGCAAAGGAAGATCGTCAAATGGGGCAGTTCACTTAGCGGCTGCTTCACTTAGCAACAGAAATGTTGGGTTCAGTGGCGGTCATATGTCGAGGACTACCTAACTGAAATGTACGTTTAACCTGTATTGTTTTTCAGGGGTGGCAAACTCACAACCACAGAATGCTGGGAAAGCCATAAACTTTTATACCTGAATTACTTTCTAAAATTGATTTAACTGGGATGAACAGATCTGACTTGTGTTGTTAGAATAAATGAGTTGGAAGGGACCTTGTGGGTCATCTAGTCCAACCCCCTGCCCAAGCAGGAGACCCAACAGATAACAGTCCAGTCTCTTCTTGAAAGCTTCCAGGAGTGAAATTCCCATAACTTCTGTTCCATGGTTGATTGTTCTCACTGTTAGAAAAATTCTTCTTATTTCCAGGTTGAATCTCTCCTTGGTCAGTTCCCATCCATTGTTCCTTGTCTGGCCTTCAGATGCTTTTTAGAAGATAGCTTGACCCCATTCCTCCTCTCTGGGGCAGCCCCTCAACTATTGGAAGATGCTCTCCTGTCTCCCCTGGTCCTTCTCTTCCCTAGACTAGCCAGGCCCAGTTCCTGCAACTGTTCATCGTATGTTTTAGCCTCTGGTTGCTCTTCTATGCACTCTTCCCAGAGTCTCAACATCTTTTTTACATCATGGTGACCAAAACTGGATGCAGGATTCCAGGTGTGGCCTTATTAAGGCCTTGTAAAGTGGTATTAACACTGATCCTTGATTCTATCTCTCTGTTTATGTAGCCTCGAATTGCATTGGCCTTTTGGGCTGCTGCAGCGCACGGCCGGCTCCTATGGAAAGGATTATCCACTCGGACTCAAGCACAGGGCCTATTGGTACTCTTAGCGCAACGCAGTCAATGCAGCCGGATGTTTCGCACTGGTGTTTTCTAGTTGTGCATATTTACAGCAAGACGGGAGGGGGAGAAATTCCCCCCCCCCACTCAAATTAGCATACAATAATTACATGCCCAATAATTACAATCTGCATTCATGGTAAATGAGTTTGAAACGGGCTTTTGTGATTTATGCTGCTAAATTTCCAATTAAGGTTCAGCTTGACATATGGATCCATCGCCCACGATAGAATGCGAAACAGAAGATAAGCGCCCAAAGACCCATTAAAAACTGTGATCCAAATGCAGCATATACAAGTTTTTGGCTCCTTTAGCTTCTGTTAATAAGAAAATAAATCTTGTGCAATGAAGAACCTGGGTACGGAAGAGGAACCGATCATAATATAATTTATCCTCAGACTACCTAGCATTTAAAACTTAAATTAAAAGTAAAACCAGGGCCTCGATCTAAGCTTGGAAACAGACTTAAAAAATAAAACACTTAAAAGTGTTTTCCTTATCCCAGCTAGACAGAATAAAAATCCTTTTTCCAAAGTGTATTTTCAAGTTGCTTTGGACGGCAGTTTTCAGATACCGTCCGTACACAGGTAGTCCTTGATTTAGAATCATTCATTTAACGACTGTTCAAAGTTACGATGACACTGAAAAAAGTGAGTTACAACCGGTCGGTCCTCGCACTTGCAACTGTCGTAACATCCCTACGTTCACGTGATCGAAGTCCAGGTGCTTGGCAACAACGGTATGTACCGCCCTCAACTTCCGATCAAAGTGACCCCCCAAAGTTGATGTTGTTAAGTGGGTTTTGCTCCATTTTACGAATTTTCCTTTCCACCACTGTTAAGTGAGTCACACGGTTGTTAAATGAATCCGGTTTTCCTCCTTGATTTTGCCTGTCGGAAGGGGACGGGATGCTGCAAGCATCATAAATGTGAGTCATTGTGAAGAAATAACACACACTGCTCAAAACAATAAAGGGAACACGACAATAAGACCTCCTGGATCCGAATGAATGAAATATTCTTATTAAATACTTTGTTCATTACGTAGCTGAATGTGCTGGCAACAAAATCACACAAAAATTATCGATGGAAATCAAAGTCCACTTTTTTTCAGTGCCGTTGTTAACTTCAAACGGCCGCTAAATGAACCCTTGTCACTCGAGGACTCCCTGTATTTACAACGGTTGCAGCGTCATATGATCACCTTGTACGACCTTCCCAGCCGGTTTCTGATAAGCACAGCTGATGAGGGAGGAGAGAAAAGAAGGGAGTGGGAGGAAGGAAAGAAGGAAGGAAGGAGAACAGGGAAGGAAGGAAAGAAGGAAGGAGAGAAAAGAATGGAGGGAGGAGAGAAAGGGGAGGGAGGGAGTCAGGGAGGGAGGGAGGAAAGAAGGAAGGAGAGAAAAGAATGGAGGGAGGGGAGAAAAGAGGGAGGGAGTCGAAGGGACGGAGGAAAGAAGGAAGGGGGAAGGAAGGAAGAACGGGGAAGGAAGGAAAGAAGGAAGGAGAGAAAAGGGAGGGAGGGAGTGGGAGGAAGGAAAGAAGGAAGGAAGGATGAAGGAAGGAGAACAGGGAAGGAAGGAAAGAAAAGAATGGAGGAAGGAGAGAAAGGGGAGGGAGGGAGTCAGGGAGGGAGGAAGGAAAGAAAGAAGGAGAGAAAAGAATGGGGAGAGGGGAGAAAAGAGGGAGGGAGTCAGGGAGGGGCAGAGGAAAGAAGGAAGGGGGAAGGAAGAACGGGGAAGGAAGGAAAGAAGGAAGGAGAGAAAAGGGAGGGAGGAGAGAAAGGGGAGGGAGGGAGTCGGAGGGAGGAAGGAAAGGAAGAAAGGGGGAAGGAAGGAGAGAAAAGAATGGAGGGAGGAGAGAAAAGGAGGGAGGGAGCAGGAGGAAGGAAGGAAAGGAAGGGAGAGAATAACCATTCCTAGGAGGCCTGTCAGGGACTTGCATAAGTCCACCATTGTGCCTACTGTCCGTGTCCTATTGTCCCCATTTATTTGTGCCTATTTCCTGTATTCCTACCTGTGTTTATACTTATACCTATTATCTTGTAAGCGATTGACGAATCAAATCAATCAATAAATAAATGGGGGAGAGAGAAATCTTTAAAACACGAGGATGCGATCTTGAGAAACACGTCCTGCAGAGGGCACACCAAGACAGCAAGTCGCTGCTTTATGACCAGGGTGAAATTCTCATTTTAACTCCTTGCTGGAAGAAAACTTGAACGAGGCCAAGTGGAGACCACGTTTTCCTCAAGAGTTCTGGGAGATGATTTCTGCTGGGCCAGGCGGACGTGCGACGAAATGAAATGCAAATAATGCTAAAAAAAAGGGCCACTTTATTTGAAGACTGGAAGTGTCCAAGCCCAAAAAAACAGGAATATTTTACGCAAACGGCAGAAGAAATACTGCTAGGATTTTGTACTGTCGAGAAAACGATGGCGAGATGTATCAACGTATTTTTCTTTTATAGATATATTGGTATGTATTTGAATGTGTTAATGTTCCATAAAGGTTTTTCTTTTTAATTAAAAAAACAAAAAAGAAGATGCCAAAGGAAAAAGAAGGGGTCGGATAGGACTCAACGGGTCTAGGTGGCAAAAGTGACGTCTAATCTGGATTTCCCGGCTCTGGAGGTGGACAGGGCACTTTTCAATTCCGTGCTTTTCACGTACGGGGTGCTTCTCTGATTTCCCGCCGCAACGGCAGTTCTGGACTTTTTGAGCCTCCCGGAAGAAGTGCTCCTCAAGCCGCTACGCGACCGCCTGACACCGGTCTTGGAGGATTTGCCCCTGAGGCCTCCCTAGAAGAAAAATAGAATCACTTTAAGCTAGAGGTGGGCAACTAGGGCAACTTGATGGCCCGTGGACTTCCACTCCCAGAATTCCT